CGCCCCCTCCCGGCGGCGCGCCCTGCAAGCTGGGCAGCCCCGCTGGAGAGGCGGCTAAGGTGTTCGGCGGCTTCCAGGTGGTGCCGGCTCCTGACGGCCAGTTTGCCTTCCTCATCCCCAACGGGGCCTTCGCTCACAGCGGCCCCGTCATCCCAGTCTACACCAGCAACAGCGGGACCTCTGTGGGCCCCAACGCAGTGTCGCCTTCCAGTGGCCCCTCGCTCACGGCGGACTCCGTATGGAGGCCGTGGCGGAACTGAGGGGCTCAGGCCACCCCTCTCCCTAAATATCAACCCACCTCTCTTCCTTCGGGACACTAAACAGAAACTTGGACGCTGGGATAGAAGAGAGGACTTTTGTGATTAAGTGGTTATTTTGGGTTTTTTAATTTCTAAAGTTACTTTTTTGTAGAGAGCTGTATTAAGTGACTGACCATGCACTATATTTGTATATATTTTATATGTTCATATTGGATTGCGCCTTTGTATTATAAAAGTTCAGATGACATTTCGTTTTTTACACGAGATTTCTTTTTTATGTGATGCCAAAGATGTCTGAAAATGCTCTTAAAATATCTTCCTCTGGGGAAGTTTATTTGAGAAAATATAATAAAAGAAAAAAGAGTGAAGGCTACTATGTCTTAGAATTTATTTCAGAATGGATAAAAAAAGGTCTTGGCAGAATTTGAATTACTTCTAATCTGAGAACTCAGGAATTGGCTCTTTTGTTATTAAGTGAACTTTTTTTTTTAATCCATCAAAACTTTCACCAACCCTCCTTGAACTAAATTCCATTTAATTTGCGAGAACCCATCTGATTGGCTTCCCTGATGAATTTGTGGCCAATCTCTTAAAGTATTTCAAAAACTTTTTAAGTTGCAGTTGGGTAAGTCATTAAGTCCTGGTTCTCTCTGAAGGAGGTTGAGCAGGGCTGAATTCATGAGGTTAATTCATCTGGTCCTATTACCCACTGCACATTTACGGGTGGCTCCTGCAGCATGTCTGCCCTGGAGTAGCTCACCAACATCCAAGTAAAAACACTCTTAATCGCTGCAACCTCCAGCCTTCAAGTGTTGGAGTCTTCCTTTAATTGGTCAATCTTTAGGTGCAGCTAGACATTGCCTTGTACCAGCATCTAAAATCTGAAATCCCTCTCTGCACCCTCTTCAAGCAAGCTGAGAAGGTCAACGGATTCCTTCTGCCAAGGAACAGCTAGTCAGACTCCCAAGTGGACCCCGATTCCAGATGATTAACACCAGACATATGTTTTTGATAAGTTTCTGTGCTTGGCTCTAATAGAGAAAGCATGTGGGGGCCGTGCTGGCAAGCTCACAGGCCATCTTCCCCTTTTAATACAAACAGCAAGCGACCCCTTTGCTTGGTCATGCCCCATTTCCAGGCAAGATGTGGGCTCCAGATAGAAGCAAAAGGGTTGTCTCGGGTTTCAGCTCACATAACCCTCCTTAACAAGTCCTAACTCAAAGCGGACAACTTTAAACTGTGCCAGGATCTGCAGGGAATTTCTTCCAAATCCCATCACAAAGGCTTGTCAGATTTTGTCAGATTTGGCCAGGTGTTTGACTGCATCCAGGTGTTGGGGAAATGAAAACCACGAGCCCTGCGAGACCAGACACATCAGCCGCGCTGTGGGTCTGGCGGGCGCGCCCTCCTCCCCCACAGCCGGCCAGTCCTCCTCCCTGCGCTGGCCCCTCCCGCCGGCCTCCGCTCACCCCCCTTCTTTTAGAAGGGCTTCTGGGAGGAGAAGGATGAGGCGGGAGAGATCAATCTTTGAAGCCTTCCTAACAAAGATAAAGCCAACGATTTTCTGTCTTGTTTCAAAAGCTTTACCTCTCCCCCCGCCTAGCTGGCCTTTCCCACAGGCCAGTGTGGAGAGCTGCTCTATCACAGGAATGATCTAGCAGACAGCAGTCAGTTTTCTACTGACTCAAATACCTTCCACCCAGCTTCAGACCCAGAATGGGTGGTTTAAAAGATACTTTAAAATTTTTGGCTCCTACTTGTTTCATTTTGTGTATGTGAACAGAGTCCAACACACCTTTCCCTCAAAGAAATACACACACACACTCACACCCTTCTTTATCACATCGTTTTTCTGCCATTTTCCTCTTTGTTTAAACACAAACATAACAACAATTGCTCTTTAAAGACATCCAACCCAAGCTCAAATGCTTCATTTGGTAAATGTGTCCTCTGGCCCCACTGGAAGTGTCCCAGGAGACATAATGGAGACATCAGGGTCTCATTTTTATCAAAGTACGTTTAGGTTCTCAAAAATTCACACACACACACACACACACACACAGGGCAATCACTACACCAACCTAAAACTAAATCTCTTTGTCTTTCCCTGTGCTAAAGGGGAAGAACTGAAAAAGTAGATCTTTATTAATATCAGAAGTATACAGATACAGGGGGAGTAATAAATTTAAGGAAAAGAAGTAAAACATTTGTTCATTTGAAAATAATTGGTAGTCTGAAAATGGTCTTTTTTTCCCTGAAATTTGGGTTTAGACTAGCAGATGAGGCTTTTCTGTACAATATGGGAAGAATGGGAAGAGACCCTAGGCCCCTCAATGAGGATGTTCAGGCTCTTGTGCCAGCCATGCCACCAAACTCAGTGTCACTTTGGATGAGTCATTTCCCTTCTCTGGGTCATTTCCAAGTCCGTAAAATGAGTGGGCTTATTTCTAAGGCCTTGTGCCCTCCTGCACCCAGGCTGTTTCTGGAGTAATTAGTTGGGGGAGAGGAGAAGCTACAAAGACGACTTTAGTCTTGCCCCCACCCAAATCCCTCGGGCCTGAACGAATTACAGCGCCTCAGCAGCCCCTCTCCCACCCCCCCACCCCCCGCCCCGGGCGGTGCCGATGGCTCCAGAAGATAAGACGCAGCTCCCAGCTCCACGTCCGGATGCGGGCCGCCGGCCTCGGCCGCCGCGCGCATTAGCCTCTCAATGGAGACCCTCGGGGCCCCGGCCCCCCGCCGTCCCCGGCAGCATCCGGAGGGGGAAAGGCGCTGAACTGGAAGGGGGGGGGGCTCTCCTGGCTCTCCTATACGGGAGCCGTCTCTAAGCGGTGAATTGCCGCGACTGGCAGGCGCGCCCCACGTGTTGCTGGAGTGGGGACCTAGGGGTTAAGCCGGACCCCCTCATCGTCACCGCCGTCCCGGGAAACCTGTCATTAAAGTCAATTAACTTTTCCCACACCCCTTGGCCGGTAACAACCCGCTGCTAGCTTC